CAGCTTGTACTTCTGGGAGTTCTCGGTCAACATACTGCTAAAGCCTGTCTTGGAGGATTTTGAGCATAACCTTGCTAGCGTGCGAAATGAGTGCAATTGTATGGTAGTTGGAGCATTCTTTGGCACTGCCCTATTACCTATTATTTACCTATTATTAATAATCGAGGTCCAGGCCATATGTCATTTTAAAAGAACCAAACAGAAATTGTTACAGATGATGATCACTCAAGCAATGTTATTAATTCTTAACAAGCATCCTCCATCCACTCTCAACCACCATTCCCTTGCCCAAACTCCAAAACTTTTCATCTCCTCAGCTAAGACTCCCTATCTAACTCCTCCTCCTGAGTCCCTTAGATATCATGACTCTGCCCCTCCAGCACTCCCATTCGTCTATGCAGATACCATATGAATATTCATGACCTGGGTGGACGACACATTCCTCCCTCCTTAATAAGGAGGTTTTAGGAGGGGAAACTTCACGGTTTGCCCTCATAAAAAGATGAAGGTTTATGGAAGAATATAAACACGAACCTTTTACATTATTTACATCATTAAAGATACATTACATTACTCTTATGTCAATAAAGACGTATTAATTTATTGTATTACATCAATAAGGATACATTACTTACATTAATACAAATTACATGACATTACTTTTACATTAATTTGGATACTCCCCATTATTTTTACCATCACCATACACCTCTAGGTTCAACATCCAAGCAAACTCTGCACTTCATATTTTATAACTAGTACACAAACAGAAGAGTTAATAAAATATTACAAACTTTTCTCCACCCGTTAGTCATTTGGCCTTTGAGACAAGGCGCCACATTAGTCATTTGGCCTTCGAGACAAGGCGCCGGCAACCACATTGTAAGTCCCTTTTGCACTGCTTATGTCAAAGTCTTGCAGAATCATCTTGCAAGTTTGCTGCTGCTCGAGACAAGGCGCCGGCAACCACATTGTAAGTCCCTTTTGCACTGCTTATGTCAAAATCTTGCAGAGTCATCTTGCAAGTTTGCTGCTACTGGATTTCATAGTTCGTAGCCACACTAAAGCGGAATGGTCGGTGCAGAGGACAAATGTCCTTCCCCAAATGTAGGGCTTCAGCTTTTGCAGCGTCCAGACAATAGTTAGACATGGCCTCTCAATGGTAGACAAATGTCTCTCACCAGGTTGGAGTCTCCTGCTGATAAAAGTCACTGGATGTAGACTCCCGTTGTCGTCTGCCTGGCACAGCACGGCTCCCAGTTTCACCTTTGATGCATCCGTGCAGATGGTGAACTCATGGTCGAAGCGTGGTGCAATAAGGACAGGTCCTAAAGTCTGCACCCTCTTCAGACCATCAAAGGCTATCTAGCACTCTGATGTCCACTGGATGTCCTCAGCTCGCCTCTTTTGGGTAAAGCCTGCTTTCTTTTTGGTTAGTGGCTTAATTTTCTCAACTGGGGAAAGGATAGGTAGTTTCCTCCACTCGTCCAGAACAGCTATGGCTGCGTTCTTTGAAATCTTATTGTTCTTGCCTTTACCCTCACCAATAAAATCGACCACAGGGACTTTTGTCACAAAGTTTTTTCTTATGAGGGGGACCACTTTCCCAGGTCACCTCAAAATTCACGGGCAAGTTTCAAGTGCCATCTCAAACTTAATTTGAGCTTATTTCAGATACTCCACTCGTCCAGAACAGCTATGGCTGCGTTCTTTGAAATCTTATTGTTCTTGCCTTTACCCTCACCAATAAAATCGACCACAGGGACTTTTGTCACAAAGTTTTTTCTTATGAGGGGGACCACTTTCCCAGGTCACCTCAAAATTCACGGGCAAGTTTCAAGTGCCATCTCAAACTTAATTTGAGCTTATTTCAGATATATTGAGATTTTCATCATCAGGTTCTGTACCTTCAATCCAAAATTCACGGGCAAGTTTCAAGTGCCATTTCAAATTTAATTTGAGCTTATTTCAGATGTATTGAGATTTTCATCATCAGGTTCTGTACCTTCAATCTCTGGTTTCTCAGGTAGGGGCTTGTTTTGCAGGATTCTCAGTGCTTTTGCAGCTGCATGTGGAGCCGTCCTAATACTAGTCCCTTCAGCATTCCAGCACTGTCATAGCAAATCTGCAGGTCCTGACAATGCTAACTGTAATTTATTCCCCTTTATGGGTCTCATCCTCAGGACAGAATGTTCTTCCCCAGGGCTTTTTATTATACCCGCTTTTCTGCTTTTGTTGAGCACCCTTTAAGTTTTGCTCTGATGTTTACAAGGATTCTTACAGCCCCACATATTGGGAAGGGTCCAGGAAAGAAACACATAAACATACCAACAGATAAGGGAAATAGACACTCTTTTTCCTATACATTTAGGCACATTTTGGGCATGGGTGAAGGTAATATGAATATCTGTAGGATAACCAATAGGGTAACGTAACTGGCATCATTACCCAATGGGCGGCTGGATTCAAACTCTGGGTACAAATGACCAATAGAATTGTAATACTTTATGACTCTGTGTTTGTATCCTTATGAAATATATGTACACTGTATTTTCGGGATCTTCTCTGCTTTTAAGAGAAGTCCTGGCTGACCTTTGTTGCTATTCAATAAAACTGGGCCTTTGGTTTAGCTGGCTACGTCTGTGCCTGATTCCTTGCTGGAGAATTTAGAGCCCAGGTTTGGCTGGTAACATCTTGTGCATTGCCCGGCTTTGTCTCTCATGACTCTTCGTATCCTCAGTGGAGGCATCAGGCTGCCTGCCTGCCACCTGCTCTCCTAGGTGAGTAGCCTGAAAGACGGCGCTTAGTGGATAGCCTGAAAGAAGGTGCCTATGGAGAGATCCAGGGGGTTTGGGTGAAGGCTTCTCCTTCGTGGCGAAGATGCCCCATTCCTTAGGCTGAGGCCTGCAACGCCAAGGGGTGAAAGCCAGTACGTCACAAATAGGGGTCTGTCTGTGAAATGTGTGACAGTTGTGTGTTTCTCCAGACGCCCTTAATCAAGACATGGCCAAGCCGTAACTTGCAAGGCATGGGAATGTGCGCAAGTAAGGCACACCCAGAATTGGGATCGCTCCTCGGCTGTGTTCTGGACAAGAGAGAGCTTGTGAGCAGGCGATCTGGGCTTACTAAAAGACGCATGATAAAATTATACACACAAATTTGGTCTGTGGTTCTTTCCTTGTCACCTTTGTGGCCCTCCAAAGGGAGCTTTTCCTCAGACATTCTATCTTTTATGGTGGACTGGGTGGAGGAGGGGACAGAGGGGGAGAAGACCATTTGAGATATGTAGGATGGTTTGCCTCCATTGTGGTTCAGCCAGAAAAATATGAGGGAGCTTTAATGTTAGTCCCTCAGAAAAAGGCAAAGAACCCATATGGTTCTCTGGATTATGTAGCTCTGACACCGACACTCTTTGCATCGTTATAAAACTTAGATACACTGTATTTTTGGGGTCCTCTCTGCTTTTAAGAGAAGTCCCAGCTGACCTTTTCTTTGTTGCTATTCAATAAAATTGGGCCTTTGGTTCAGCTGGCTGCATCTGCCTGATTCCTTGCTGGAGAATTTAGAGCCCAGGTTTGGCCAGTAAATCAGCTGTCTCTCATTTCAGGATGTTTGCTTAAAGTAGGTAGTTCAACAAGAGTTTCAGTGCTTCCCTCAGAGGCTTCAATTTGCCTCCCTGAGAGCAGGTTACTATTAAAACACTCTGTACATGCTTGGCTAGATTTAAACCAATCAGACAAGGAGCTGGGATTTGGTCTGACACTGCTACTTTCCATATACCAGACCACCCATTATAGTTCACAGATATTTTGGCCATAGGCCAAACCGATCCCTTTAACGGAGACCTTCTCATGTTCTATCATGTCTTCCTCAGGGATTATATCAGGATGGCAAATAGCTATCTGTGAACATGAATCTTTAAGGCTAAGATATTTTACATCGTTGATAAAAAAT